CTCCGGGTGCTCCGGTTTCCTCCCACAGTCCAAAGATGTGCAGGGTAGGTGGATTGGCCATGCTAAATTGCCCGTAGTGTTCAGGGATGTTTAGGGTAGGTGGGTTAGATATGGAAAATACAGGGGAATGGGTCTGGGTGGGATGTTCTTCGGAGGGTCGGTGTGGACTTGCTGGGCCAAATGGCCTGTTTCCATACTGTAGGGATTCTATGATCCCTGCAACTTGATTAGCAGGTGCTGACTAAATATACAACAACAAGACACAGTACGACCTAACACACTGGCCATGCTGCCCTACATCAAGAACATATTGGAACTGACAACAAGACTCCTACAACCACTCGGAATCATGGTAGCCCACAAACACTCACAAGGATTAAAGACCCCATTCCTACAACATGCAGAACCAACATAGTTTACAAAATACCATGCAATGACTGCCACGGACATTACATCGGACAGACAGGAAGGAAACTAGCCATCAGAATACATGAACGTCAGCTAGCAGCAAAACAACACGATGAACTTTCCTTAGTATCAGTACACTCGGGCAATGAAGGCCATCAGTTTAACTGGGACAACGTAACTATGGTAGCCCAAGCCAAACATCGACATGCATGGGAGTTCCAAGAGGCATTCCATAATGCAATCAATAAACATGTAGAATTAGACCCCATGTACAAACCCATACAGAACAAAACAGTGGGGTGGGGGGGCTGGGACATGGGAGAGTTTAGGCCCTAAAATTATTGAACTCAATATTGAGTCCGGAGGGCTGTAGGGTCCCCAAGCGGAAAATGAGGTGTTGTCCTCCAGCTTGCGTTAGGCTTCACTGGAACACTGTAGCAAGCTGGAGTCAGAGATGTTGGCCAGGGAGCAAGGTAGTGCATTGAAGTGGCAGGCAACAAGTAGTAGTTCAGGGTCTTTTTTGCGAGCAGACCATAGATGTTCTGCGAAGCGGTCGCCAAGTCTATGCTTCGTTTCCCCAATGTAGAGGAGACCACATTGTGAGCAGCAAATGCAGTAGACTAGTTTCTGGGAAGTGCAGGTGAAGTGTTGCTTCACCTGGAAGGTATGTTTGGGCCCTTGGATACTGGGGAGGGAGGAGGTAAAAGGGCAGATGTCGCACCTTCGCCGCTTACAGGGAAAGGAGCCGTAGGGCTGTTGGGAGGTGTTGGGGGTAAAGGAAGCGTGGACCAGGGTGTCCCGGAGGGAACGGTCCCTGCGGAAAGCGGACAAGGGAGGGGAGGGGAACATGTGTCTGGTGGTGGATCTTGCTGGAGGTGGTGGAAATGGTGTCTGATGATCTTCTGGATGTGGATGCTGGTGGGATGGTAGGTGAGGATAAGGGGAACCCTATCGCTGTTGCTGGAGGGAAGAGAAGGAGTGAGGGCAGAAGTGCGGGAGATGGGACAGACCCGATTGAGGGCCCTGTCGACAACGGAGCTGGGGAATCCTTTGTTGAGGAAGAATGTGGACATTTGCGAGCCTCTCTTGTCGAAGTTGGCCTCATCTGAACATATGCGACGGAGACGGAGGAACTGAGAGAATGGGATGGAGTCTTTACAGGAAGTGGGGTGTGAGGGTGTATAGTCCAGGTAGCTGTGGGAGTCGGTGGGTTTGTAATGGATATTAGTGGCCAGTCTATCCCCAGAAATGGAAACAGAAATGTCGAGGAAGGGAAGGGAGGAGTCAGAGATAGACCAGGTGAAAGTGAGGGCAGGGTGGAAATTGGAAGCGAAATTGATGAAGTTTTCCAATTCTCGATGAGAGAAGGAAGCAGCACTGATGATACCATCGATGTATCGGAGCAAGAGTTGTGGGTGGGGCCGGAATAGGACTGGAACAAGGAATGTTCCACGTACTCCACGAAGAGACAGGCATAACTCAGGCCCATGCGGGTACCCATAGCAACCCCTCTTACCCGAAGAAAATGAGAGGAGTTGAAAGAGAAGTTGTTGAGGGTGAGGACAAGCTCAGCCAAGTGGAGGAGGGTGGTGGTGGGTGGGGATGGTTCAGGTCTTTGCTCCAGGAAGAAGCGGAGAGCCCTAAGACCTATATTCCAGGTGCAGCCTCACCTGTATATGTCCTGTTTACCTGCAGCAAGACATTCTTGTTGCTGTACTTGAATCTACGAAGGCCAGTGTACTAATGGGGTCCATTAATAGCTGACAATGGGCTGATGTGGTAGCAGCCCATGTGATGACAAGGTCTGGTGTGTGGCCGTTGTGGTAAGGACATCGGAGAAGGTGCTCAGGCCCTAAAGTTATCGAACTCAATATTGAATCCAGAAGCTGCATGATTTGCATGGTAGAGGATACCACCATGTGAGCAGCAAATATGTAGACTAGATTGAGTGAAGTGGCAGTAAATTGCTGCTTCACCTGGAAATTGTGTGTGGGGCCTTTGATAATGAGGAGGTAGGAAGTAAATGGGCAGGTGTTACACCTTCTGCATTTGTATGGGAAGGTGCTGTGGTGGTGTGGGGAGATATTGGGAGTAGAGGAGTGGACCAAGGTGTCCCGGAGGGAACAGTCCCTGTGGAAGGTTGACAAGGGAAGGGAGGGGAATATGGCTCTGGTGGTGGCATTCCTTTGGAGCTGACAGAAGTGGTGGCTAATGATCCTTTAGATGTGGACGCTGGTGGGATGGCAGGAGTTAAATGAGAAGTTATTCAAAGTGATGATGAGCTTGGCCAGGCAGAGGAGGTTGCTGGTGGATCAGATCCAACCCTGACTTTGTAATCAAGCCTGCCGACAAGGGTGGTACTGTTGTTGTCTGGTGTACTGACCACTACGTTGCAGAGGTGCAAGTCAGAAGTGTGATGGAATATTCCTCACTTGTTGGATGAGTGCAGTGTTAAAGACACTGGAAGCTCGACGCCATCCAAGACAAAGCAGCCTGTTTGATTGACACTACATCACACAAACATTCACTCCATCTACTACTGATGCTTAATAGCAGCAGTGTGGATCCACTACAAGGTACACTGCAGAAATTCATCAAAATTCCTTAGCATTTTCCAAATCCCCATCTCCCTACCATCTGGATACCAGGCCAGTAGTTATATGGGAACACAACCACCTGCAAGTTCTGCTCCCTCCCTAATGGCATTATGGGTCTATTCACACTAATCGGTTCAGCTGACTTCAGCTGTTCAAGAAGGCAGAGATAGTAGGAGCTGCAGATGCTGGAGAATCCGAGACAACAAGGTGCAGGGCTGGATGAACACAGCAGGCCAAGCAGCATCATAGGAGGAGAAAGGCTGACGTTTCGGGCCTAGACCCTTCATCAGAAAAGGGGGAGGGGAAGGGGGTTCTGAAATAAATAGGGAGAGAGTGGGAGGCGGATAGAAGATGGATAGAGGAGAGGATAGGTGGAGAGGAAACAAACAGGTCGAAGAGGCGGGGATGGGGCCAGTAAAGGTGAGTGTAGGTGGGGGGTTAGGGAGGGGATAGGTCAGTCCAGGGAGGACGGACAGTTCAAGGGGGCGGGATGAGGTTGGTCGGTAGGAGATGGGGGTGCGGCTTGAGGTGGGAGGAGGGGATAAGTGGGAGGAAGAACAGGTTAGGGAGGCGGGGACGAGCTGGACTGGTTTTGGGATGCGGTAGGGGGAGGGGAGATTTTGAAGCTTGTGAAATCCACATTGATACCATTGGGCTGCAGGGTTCCCAAGCGGAATATGAGTTGCTGTTCCTGCAACCTTCGGGTGGCATCGTTGTGGCACTGCAGGAGGCCCAGGATGGACATGTCATCTGAGGAATGGGAGGGGGAGTTGAAATGGTTCGCGACTGGGAGGTGCAGTTGTTTATTGCGAACCGAGCGTAGGTGTTCTGCAAAGCGGTCCCCAAGCCTCCGCTTGGTTTCCCCGATGTAGAAGAAGCCACACCGGGTACAGCGGATGCAGTATACCACATTGGCAGATGTGCAGGTGAACATCTGCTTGATGTGGAAAGTCTTCTTGGGGCCTGGGATGGGGGTGAGGGAGGAGGTATGGGGGCAGGTGTAGCACTTCCTGCGGTTGCAGGGAAAAGTGCCGGGTGTGGTGGGGTTGGAGGGGAGTGTGGAGCGGACAAGAGAGTCACGGAGAGAGTGGTCCCTCCGGAAAGCAGATAAGGGTGGGGAGGGAAAGATGTCTTTGGTGGTGGGGTCGGATTGCAGATGGTGGAAGTGTCGGAGGATGATGCGTTGGATCCGGAGGTTGGTGGGGTGGTACGTGAGGACGAGGGGGATTCTTTTTTGGTTGTTATTGCGTGGACGGGGTGTGAGGGATGAGTTGCGGGAGACACGGTTGAGGGCGTTCTCGACCACTGAGGGGGGGAAGTTACGGTCCTTGAAAAACGAGGACAACTGAGATGTACAGGAGTGGAGCGCCTCATCCTGGGAGCAGATGCGGCAGAGGCGAAGGAATTGGGAATAGGGGATAGCATTTTTGCAGGAAGGTGGGTGGGAGGAGGAGTATTCTAGGTAGCTGTGGGAGTCGGTGGGCTTGAAATGAATATCGGTTTCTAGGTGGTTGCCCGATATGGAGACAGAGAGGTCCAAGAAGGGGAGAGTGGTATTAGAGATGGTCCAGGTAAACTTAAGGTTGGGATGGAAGGTGTTGGTGAAGTGGATGAACTGTTCGAACTCCTCGTGGGAGCACACGTCCTCACCCTCAACAACTTCTCTTTCAATTCCTCCCACTTCCTCCAGACAAAGGGGGTGGCCATGGGTACCCGCATGGGCCCAAGCTACGCCTGCCTCTTTGTAGGTTACGTGGAACAATCCCTCTTCCGTACCTACACTGGCCCTAGGCCCCACCTCTTCCTCCGTTACATTGATGACTGTATCGGCGCCGCCTCGTGCTATTGTACCTGCCACAATCACATTCTCTGGCAGCCCATTCCATATACGCACCACTCTCTGTGTGAAGAAGTCGCCCCTCAGGTCCTTCTTAAATCTTTCCCCTCTCACCTTAAACTAATGCCTTCTAGTTTTCAATTCCCCATCCCTAGGAAAAAGATTATATGCATTCATCCTATCTACATCATTTGTCGTTCTGTGCCTGATGTACTTCGTACATTTTGGATCAGTATTGTGTTCCAGCATGATTCACGAGTGAACATCGTGCCAGCTTGAGTTCCTGATGTTGCTGACATACAGTTGTGCTGATGCAGACGGCCCACAGTGAATCAACAAAGTAGTTTGGACCTGGATTGGAGCAGCTGGTCTTCTTCTCTGAGGGATATTCCTAAATCAGTTGTACTTTACAATTATTTGGAGTTTCACCTTGTTCGAGAGGAGAAGGCTAAGAGGAGATTTGATGGAAAGTTTCAAAATTGTGAGATCTGGATAGTGTAGACAGTGAGAAACTGTTCCCTCACAAATGGATCAAGAAAGAGATTTTGTAACCTCCTTTTGTAAGGGTAAACTGTTTCAAACAGTGAATGGTTTGGGTCAGGAATGTGCTGCCTGTTTGTGTAATGGAGGGTAAATTGGGCTAATGTGCAGGGTTATGGAGTAAGGATGGGAAGATGGCGCAAAATCATTACGCTCATTTGAAGAGCCATTATAAAGACGATGAGTTGAATGGTCTCCTCCTGTACCATGGCAATTCTGTAATTCTGAGATCTCGTTAATTTTCTGATACTTTATCACAAATTGATGGAATTATTGTTTTCCATTACTCAGTCCTTTTGACTGTTTGCAGTGGGTAACATGCCAACTATGTTCAACCAGTGCATACTTGCAGAACATAATATGTGATTCTGCGATAGTAGGAACTGCAGATGCTGGAGAATCTGAGATAACAAGATGTAGAGCTGGATGAACACAGCAGGCCAAGCAGCATCAGAGGAGCAGGAAAGCTGACGTTTCGGGCCGAAGACCCTTCTTCAGAAATGGGGGAGGGGAAGGGGGTTCTGAAATAAATAGGGAGAGAGGGGGAGGCGGATAGAAGATGAATAGAGGAGGAGATAGGTGGAAAGGAGACCGACAAGTCAAAGAGGCGGGGATGGAGCCAGTAAAGGTGAGTGTAGGTGGGGAGTTGGGGAGGAGATAGGTCAATCCAGGGAGGACGGACAGGTCAAGGGGGTGGGATGAGGTTAGTAGGTAAGAGATGGGATCCGCAACTCATCCCTCACACCCCCTCCCCGCAATAACAACCAAAACAGAAATCCCCTTGTCCTCATGTACCACCCCACCAATGTCCGGATCCAACGCATCATCCTCTGACACTTCCGCCATCTGCAATCTGACCCCACCACCAAAGAAATTTTTCCCTCCCCACCCTTATCTGCTTTCCGGAGGGACCACTCTCTCCGTGACTCCCTTGTCTGCTCCACACTCCCCTCCAGCCCCACCACACCTGGCACTTTTCCCTGCAACCACAGGAAGTGCTACGCTTGCCCCTACACCTCCCCCCTCACCCCCATCCCAGGCCCCAAGAAGACTTTCCACATCAAGCAGATGTTCACCTGCACATCTGCTAATATAGTATACTGCATCTACTGTTCCAGTTGTGGCCTCCTCTACATCGCGGAAACCAAGCGGAGGCTTGGGGACCGCTTTGCAGAACACCTACGCTTGGTTCGCACTAAACAACTGCACCTCCCAGTTGTGAACCATTTCAACTCCCCCTCCCATTCCTCAGTCGACATGTCCATCCTGGGCCTCCTGCAGTGCCACAACGATGCCACCTGAAGGTTGCAGGAACAGCAACTCATATTCCGCTTGGGAACCCTGCAGCCCAATGGACCAATGTGGACTTCACAAGCTTCAAAATCTCCCCTCCCACTACCGCATCCCAAAACCAGCCCAGCTCATCCCCGCCTCCCTAACCTGTCCTTCCTCCCACCTATCCCCTCCTCCCACCTCAAGCCCCACCCCCATCTCCTACCTACTAAGCTCATCCCTCCCCCTTGACCTGTCCGTCCTCCCTATCTCCTATCTCCTCCCTAACTCCCCACCTACACTCACCTTTACTGGCTCCATCCCCGTCTCTTTGACCTGTCTGTCTCCTCTCCACCTATCTTCTCCTCTATTCATCTTCTATCCACCTCACCCTCTCTCCCTATTTATTTCAGAACCCCCTTCCCCTCCCCCATTTCTGAAGAAGGGTCTCGGCCTGAAACATCAGCTTTCCTGCTC